TGCGCCGTCGCCGCCGCCGCAATCCGCTCGGCCGAATGCCGCTCCGGCGCCGCGCCGCGCCGCGCCGTCTCAAACCCGCCCCACGCACGGTAAAATGCATCCACACACTCGCGCGTTGATCCGCCGCACCCGAATCGGGGCCGCGACCCCGCCGCCGCCTCGGCCGCCGCCTCGGCCGCCGCCGCCTCCGCCGCCTCCGCCGCCGCCGCCGCCGCCGCCGCTCCGCCCGCCGCCGCCGCCCCGCCCGCCGCCGCCTCGCCCGCGCCGCCTGCCGCCGCCTCGCTCCGCCGTCGCCTTGCGGCGGCGATCTCCGCCTCCTCGGCATCGACAGCGGCAAAGGCGGCGTCGAGTGTGGCGTAGAACCCGCCAGGCCCGTCCGCCCTCCCGCCGGCCCACGCGCCCTTGCCAAAGAAGGGCCACAGCGGCCTACGTGCTGAATACGCCAACATGAGGGCGGGAAGACGGTATTGTGCAGCGCATTCAGAGCACCGCGTGTGAATACGAGGGAGGCGAAGACAGTGAATGCAGCGGAATACGACCGAATACGACCGAAGACGTGTCCTCTCGGGCGCTAGTTGGGACACATGAAGACGTATTCCGCTTCTAGGCACAGCGGCATCTCCTCCGGCTCCTCCTCCGCGAGCGCGTCGCGGCTCGACCCGCCCGCGGCTGCGGGCACGCTGCGCGGAGGCGCCGGCCCGCCCGCCGCCGCCGCGAGAATCGCCTCGCGGTTCCGGTCGAACCACGCACGCTCGTGCGCGTCCGACAGCAGCTGGTACGAGGCTTGCAGCCGCTGGAAGCGCTCGGTCGCCACGCCCTCCTCGTCGGCGGCCTGACGGTCGGGGTGGAGCTCGAGCGCCCTGCGGCGGTAGGCGGCTCGGATCTGCGCCTCGGTCGCGTCCCGCTCGACGCCGAGCACCGCGTAGTGGCAGTTTGCGTCCGGCCGGTCCTCTCCCGCCGCCGCGCCTCCGGCGGGCGGCGCCGGCGCCGGCGCAGCGGTGTCCGGGTAGTAGCCCAGCCCAGCCGGCCCGCGCTTGAAGACAAAGCCGTGCCGGGCGCCCTCGAACTGGCACGAGGGAGCAAAGCCGGCAGGCTCCTCGTCTCGCTGCGCCTCAGCCTCTGCCGCCCGCCTCGCAGTTCGGCGCTCGCGAGCGCTGGCGGTCGGGATCTTGAGCTCGAACTCCCTGCAGGCAGCCTCGCGCTTGCTGTCCCGCAGCCTCTGGCCACGTGATGGCATAGGTGTGGCTGTGAGAACGCTGGTGAGAACCGCCAAAGGCTACACCGCCAAAGGCTACGCTACGCTGCCTGGCGGCGTGGACCGAGCAAAAAAAGACGGGGCTGCAGAGTAACGAATTTTGGCCCATGCGCATGCTCTTCCTCGTGCTCGCCGCGCGCTCGGGAGCCGGAGTGGCGGGGTCGGAGCTGCTGCAACGGCGCGAGTGGCCGCGAGGGGTCGTACTGGGGCTCTCCAGAGGGCGAGACCACTACGCGGTGCTCGCGGCGGCGCACGGGGCAGCTTTGAGCAGTGCAGCGCCTCAGCAGCGCCTTCAAGCAGTGCAGCGCAACGCCAGCTGCCTCTCTGGAGCTATGCGGCGGCTGGCGGGCCTGTGCGATGGCGCCGATCCGTGGGCTCGGGACGCGCAGTCGGCTCGCGTGCCGGTTGCCGAGTCAGCCTGGCTGGCGAGAAGCGCCAAGGCCTTCCCTGCATTCTGGGCGCTGCCCAGAAGTGCGCAGTACCTTTGCTGCGCCGACGGGCGGCCTCGATGCGGATTGCCGCGAGTGGCGTGGGAGCCTCCAGCGGCGCGGTCGTTGGTCAACACCGCGGCGCGCGCGCGCCGCGGGTGCTGCACAACAAGCGGAGTGCATGGGCGGGCGCTCGATCGCTTGCCGGCGCCCAACTTTGACTATCGATTGCCGCCGGTTATTATAACCGGTGGGAGATCGTTTCTGCAGACGGAGGGATTCAACGCGGCGATAACTGCCCGAGACGTCCCTAACCTTTATTTATTTCTGCCCTGCTTCAGGAATCGGGGGCTCACTTCTTTCTTGCTTTGTGCAGGACGCAGGTCCTACCTTTGGGGACACGTAATTCCATCTATATGGTGGTGTCCCCCCCCCTTCACTCTACCGGCTTTCTGGGAAGCCTTCGTGGCCGCGACGGAAGCAGGCGCGGCGTGGACGCCGCCGCAGAGCCTCTCCGAGGCCCAGCAGAGGGCCGGCGCCAGGCTCCACGCAATGCCCTGGGTGCTTCAGCAGACGCCGACCGCAGGGGCGGCCAGCAGTGCCGGGCGCGCCCGGCTGCACGAGGGGCCGTCGTCGGAGGCCTCGGGCGAGCAGGCGGAGGCCGAGCAGGAGAAGCTGCGTGCGGAGGAGGAGCGGCGAGCGAAGGAGCGCCAGCGGCGCGAGGAGCGGCGGGCGGCGGACGCTCGGTGGTGGCGAGCGGTGTGGCGCGGTACGAGAGCGGACCCGCCGGCGAACCGGAAAGCCGAGGCCGGAGGGCCCCGGGGGGGACTTGGGGTCAGTTGTCGGAGGAGGCGAGAGATGAGCTAACGCGGCCTCTGAGAGTGGAGTCGGGACGTACGGACGAGCCGAGGACGATAGAGAGACCGCGGGGGCGGGCACGAGTCCTCGACCGGAGGGAGCTGGCCCCGCTTCTCGGGGAGGAATGGCGTGCCGATCCAGTGCCGCCGCCCTCGCCCGAGGAGTTGGGCAAGGGATCACCGTCGATGATGACGACAGAATCGGACAGAGGAGACGAGACGGGGGCGGAGCCGCGGCTGAAAAAGGCCAGGAGAGGAGGTCGGGCCCCGCGCCCGTCGCACAACTATCGGGATGCGACCAGAAGGAAGGACCGAGAGGGGGGGGAAGACGTCCCGATGTGAAAGTGGGGAGACCACGATGAGGGGTCCGGAGTGGTGAGGCGCCGGGTGTGGGCGGGCGTCGAGGCCGTGTCGAGTCCGTGTTGAGTGTTTACTAGCTCCGAGTAGAGGGGGCGTTCTGCAGTTAAGGGGAAACCTGGAGCGCGGAGCTAACCCTCGGAGACCCGTGTTTACTTTAAGGCCCTTGCCCTGCGAACGCGCACCCCCGGGGCTAGGGCTCTCTTGCCCGTAACCCGATACCGATCATCCGGCCCGCTGGATGCGCTTCTCAGCTCACCGGCCCTGGATGTGAGGTTACCGACTGCACTCCAAGTGCTCCAAGTGCTCGGGGTATAAAACGCGCCTGCGGGCGGACCCTCGCAGCTCTCAGCTCACTCAGTACGTGTACGAATAAGCCGCAGGCTCTGCGGTACGTCTGCATGTGCGGCTCGAGGGCTCCAAGCAGGCCGCGCGCCATCACAGCATGGCCACCTTGCGCGCGGTCTTTGCCGAGATCTGTGCGAACCTGGCGCGCTCCTGCATCACGTAGTCCGGGCTCGGCTTCGGCGAGTCCGGGCACCTCTTGAAGGGGGTGGACGGCGCGCTCCCGGGAGGGGTCATGGGCGTGGTGGTCACCGAGAGGCTGCCGCCGCGGGCGCGCGGGGCGAACGAGCGCGGGGCGAGCTGCTCGCCCAGCATCGCCAGGTAGCCCTTGCCCACGCCCGCCCTCTCGCTCTCGCTCACCTTGCCGTCGCCTGCGGGTGCGAGGGGCGCGGGGAGGTGTGTGGGTGGGCGGTAGGGCGGCGTCGACTCGAGGCGCCGCGCGGCGGTCGCCGTCGCTGTCGAGTATGCTCTTGGAGTCGTCGGCGAGCTCCTGCTTCATCGCCGCGAGCGTGAGCATCAGGTTGTACTTGTGGCGGCGCGTCGCGAGGTACAGGACCGTCAGCAGCCACGCCACCGCGCCGAGCAGCAGCAGGAGCAGCGACCACTCCACCTCGTAGATGGCGGCGCAAGCCCGCCCCGTCAGCGTAGGGGCGAGGTGGAGCTGCGCGACGAGCGTGCCGAGCAGGTCCTCGGCGGAGAGCCGCCCGTCGAGCCAGCTGCGGAGGAGGCTGCCGCCGCTCGCCCTCGGCTGGGGTGTGTGCCCGAGGGCGTCGTTGAGGTAGTCGGCGAGCTCCGCGTTGATGGTGAAGGCGACAAGGGCGAGGTGCGAGAGGGCGGACGCCTCGCGCGAGGAGCGGAAGGAGTCGATGTCTTGGTCGTACCCGTAGTGGCCGTAGAGGGGCGACGAGCAGAGAGGCGACGAGTCCGAGAGGCAGAGCTCGCACATGCCCAAGAGGTCGTGCTCGAACAGGTGAACCAGCTCGTGGCACGGGGCGGAGAGGCCCTGCAGGTGGCCGGCGGCGACCGAGAGAGACTCGGTCGTGAGGGCAACCTACTCGCACGGAACGCCGTGAGACGGGGGGAGAGGGCTCGCGCGTCGCGTCGACGGAGCACAGAGGCGCGGGCACACGCCTCGCCCTCTCCGCCGGCGGGGCATCGCATCTCGGGGTCGTCAACGGGCAGCAGCATGCCCAGCACCCACTTGAAGGTCTCAACCTTGCCGGGCAGAGCGACGCACTTTGCCGCGCCGGCGCGCGCCTTGTCGTACGCGCGCACCATGTCCGGCGTGCAAGCCTGCGAGTGCGGCAAGGGCGGGGTGGACGCCGTCACGCGCACAAAGTGGTGGGGCAGAGGGCGGTAGTGCAGCCACTCGCATCTCCACGTTTCCAAAGGCAGGCGGGCGCCGCGCGGCATTCAGAGAGCAGGGCGTGCAACGTGGGTGAGCGGGCCTGCGAGTAGTCCAGCTCCGCGAGGTGGGCGAGCAGACCGACCACCTCATCGTCGTGAAGCAAGGCCTCGGCCGAGCCCCATTCCCGCCAGCCCGGCTGGCGCGAGAGAGCGACGCCCCTCTCGACGCCGGCGAGGGCGGTCGGGTTGGCGACGAGGGCGGCGGTGCCGTTGGCGAGCGCCTGCAGAAGCGGGCTCTCCAGCACGCCCGCCGCCGAGTAGCAGAGCGGCTGCTGCGCCGCGCCGACGGCGAGGAGCGGGGCGAGGAGGCCGGGCTTGATCAGGCAGAGCGAGACCAGCTTGTAGCTCGCCAACGCCACCAGCACCGTCAGCGCCGCCGCCGTCCACGACCAGACGCCGAGCAGCAGCTTACGCGAGGATGAGGCAGCCTCGGGGAGGGCCCCTTCGCGGAAGGCATCCTTCTTGACGGTGACGCCTGAAGGAGGTGCGGGGGCGCGGGGGGGGGGAGGGGGAGGAGCCTCGGTCGGGGGGGGGGGCTGCCGCGGCGCCGGAGGCGGCCCGAGCAGGGAGAGGGCCCGAGCAGGGAGAGGGTCCGGCGCCGTCTGCGCGGAAGCGGGTGCGTGCGTAGGCTCCGAGGGCGGCGATGGCGAGGGCGAGCCCGACGAGGAGGAGGGTGAGGGCCTAGGGTTAAACTCAGGGTTAGGTTCGGGTGGGGTTTAGTCGAGGAAGGGAGGGGGGAGGGCTGCGGCGGCGCTGGCAGTGGGGGGGGGGGTAAGCGGGGCTGTTTGCCGTGAGAGTGCGCTCGGGGTGGATCTGCTGCAGCGTCTCGAGCTGGCTGCCAGTGACGTTCTGCAGCAAGTTGGCGATGGTGACGTTCTGCAGCACCGCCGCATCGAACGGCGCGCTCAAGTCAACGCCCACCGCCGCCGCCGCCGCAGCAGCGTGCGCCCCGATCGTGCAAAGCGCGGTCCGGAGGACGGCGGCCGCGGCGAGGAAGGCGGCCGCGCAACCGAGCGCACCGGCGGGGACGCGGTCTGTCAGCTTGCGCAAGCTGAAGAGGAGGACAAAGTTGGAGTAGTCGCTCCAGAGGACGACCTGGTTCACACCTGCAGCTGTGAAGAGACGTTGCGGCTGCGGCACCAACCGATCCAGAAGCGGCGACCCCCAGCACGGCTGCGGCGAGCCCGGCGGAGGCGCCGGAGAAGAGGGTCCAAGCGGCGCTCTCGAGCGCAGGCGCGTGGTCGCACAGAGGCGCGATGCCGGCGCTGCTGAGGTTGGAGAGCGCCGCCTCGACGCTGATGCCTACTCACAGCGGGGACCGGTGCGGGCACTGCCCCGAACAGAGACGCCTCCCCGCCGTTGCGGCTGCCGGCTGCGGCTTCAAAGACCGCGTCGTACTTTGGGGGCAGGTCGGCGTAGTGGTAGGCAACTTCGGACGCGACGTAGAGCCACTCCGCCTTGTCCTGCGGCGAGGCGGGGAGAGGGCATGGTGGACTGTTCATCAACAAAGGCATCTCTCTCGAGATGTCGACGAGAGACGTGGGCTAGACTTTGGGTTCTCCCTCTCCGAGGTAGCATGTCGCCTGGGCGACTTCGAGGGCATACGGAGTCAGCGCTTCGAGCTCGTCTCCGCCGATCGTCCCGTTGCCCGCCTCGGAGTCAGGGTTAGGGTTGGGGTTAGGTTAGGGTTAGGGTTAGGGTTAGTCCGCTGCCCGCCTCGGAGTTAGGGTTAGGGTTAGGGTTAGGGTTAGTCCCGTTCCCCGCCTCGGAGCGAATACAACATACTCTATCATCGTCCCGTTGCCCGCCTCTACACAGAGCGCAGACGACGAGCGAGTCACTCGCTCCGTGTGCTCGCAGACCGCCTCGACCCGATCGGTGTTGACGTACGAGCCCGGCGCGACCTGCTCACACATTCGCTGGGCGTGTGAAGAGGAGCAGCAAGCCTGCAGCCGAGCCCGCCCAGCCCCCCGGCGCACCCAATACAGGATGTCCATGATGCCTCCGAACCTGAAGCACGCTGCGGTGGCGAGCAGCGCGCAGCCGCGCAACCGGAGCATGGTGTCGCAGCCTCGGAGGCCGCCTACGAGACAGCGGCGAGGCGTGACACCATGCTCCGCTCCGCATGGTGTCGCAGCCTCGGAGGCCGCCTACGAGACAGCGGCGAGGCGTGACACCATGCCCCGCTCCGCTCGCCCGCCTCCGACGGACGCGAGCTTTTGGCTTCCTCCCTGCAGCGCGCCGTCCGACGCCATCTCTGCCAGCTGCGCCTCCACCGCCGCCTCGACCTCGGCATGCTCCTCGGAGGAGCTCTCGTGCACGAGGCGGTAGTCGTCGAAGACAAGCCCCTCCTCGGCAGCCTCGCCTACTCTCCCCACAGCGACGCGTGCTCCCTCGCGAGCTCCTCGGCGGGCTGCAGCGGCCCCCTCTCGCGCCGAGCGCGTCGCAGCGCTCGGTGAGAGTGATCGGGTAGGTGAGGCCGCGCACGGCGCCGCAGGAGGCGAGGAAGATGGAGGCGGCGACGACGAGAGCGATGAGCGTGAGCGCGTCGCCCGCGACGCTCAGCCTCACCACCCGCCTCGCCTCTGCCGTGCGATCCACGCTCTCAATATCTTTGCCGACGTACAGCCGGCGCGCCTTGCGGGCGGCTCCCAGGACCAACAGCATCACGCAGCAGCAGAAGGGCAATCCGAGACGCATGTACGCCGAGGCGACCGCTGCCGTTCCCGGCCGCAGCGAGCAGCTGATGGGGGCGTCCGCGGCCGTGCCATTTGTGAGCTTCCACTTTTCGCACTTGTCCCACTTGTCGTCGGCGTCCTCGTACATCGCGGTGAGAGTGGTGACAAACGCGTCGACGTGATACTGCTCATCGATGGCTGCATACACGGTGCGGAATTTGGCGAAGCTCGCCAGCACACTCGCCGACCCGTACACCATCAGCAGCAGCGCAAAGATCGCCAAAAGCGGAATGGGGCCGGGGGGGAGGACGGCGCACGAGCGGGCGCCCTTGGCCGTCGTGAGCGTGGAGGCCTGCCGCCTGAGCTCGCCTGGCATGCCCTGCGCAGACTTCAGGGCTAAGGCGGCATCAAACATGGATGGAGGCTAAAGGCGAGCTTGGGTGGGTCGCAAGCCGCCCTGATGGTACCAACGAGGAATTACACGCAGCGAGTTCGTTTCGCCTGCCGGTTTTCTTTTCTTTACCTGAGGAGAGAGGAGAGAGATGTGTGCGGTTGCTGACGCGTTGACGGCACTCCAAGTGCTCCAAGACCAAAAAGTCACTCGACACCCGTTTCTTGTTTTTCGCTTTCAGATCGTCTCTGAGAGATCGTCTCTGAGGACAACAAAACAACTCTGTCTCTGAAGACTGGGGGCATTTTGAAATGGTAGACGCGTCGGCGGCTCACCGCGAGGAGGAGCGCCGCCACTCCCACGAGTCCCTGGAGCTGCTCCTGGCCGGCGGCCACGCCAAGCCGTGCAGAGCCGCGTCGTACGGCGTGCTGTGGTACTTTCCCAAGTGCGCGGGCTCGCCGCGGAAGAGGGACCCGCCGCTGGCGCCCGCCAGACACCCGGCGCCGAGCTTGTCGATGCCGAGGGCTGCTGCGACGTCCTCCGGCAGCTGCGCGAGCGAGCCGCCGTAGCAGGCGGGGAGGGAGGAGGGCGGCGCGAGGGAGAGGGGTAGCCCCTCGGAGCGGGCCGGCGTGGCGAGCCGGATCCGCTCCTGGATCGCCTTTGAGAGGAGCGGCCGGATGAGCTCGTACGCGCGCACGGCGATTGGCAGGATGTTGAACGCGACGATCTGCGAAAAGAGCTCCGGGTAGTAGCGGTCGGGTAGCTGGACGGCGTCCTGCGGGGGGGGGGGGGGGGCTTCGCGTCCCTTCTGATCGTTGTGGGTTCCCCCACGAGGTCTTCGCTGTTTGTCCGCCCTCGTTTGCGCCGCAAGGGTTCCAGGACGGGTCACGTAGGCACCGATCGCTGGCAGCTATGCGGATGGGGCTCGAGAGTGCGGGTACGCGCGGGGTACAAGGCGTGCCACGTTTCCCCTTCATCCGGCGGAAGACGCGCGGCATGACCTGCTGCAGCCCGATGCCTACTCGATAAGCTGCAGGGGTGGGCGATCTGCTCCCTTTGCCGGAGGCGCGGCCGGCGGCATCCCGGCGCCGTGGCAGTTGAAGAGCTGGACCGCCGTCACGAGCCGCCCCTGCGCGAGGGACTCTTGGTCCAGGCGGAGGAGGAGGTACTCTAGCCAGCGCTCAGGCGGCGGCGGCGGCGGCGGCGGCGGGCGGGGGGGGGGGGGGTGAGCAGGAGACGCTGCCGGCACGGCGGTCCGCGCGCGCGGGGGGGGGGGGGGGCGTCTCGCCCGTACAGGTTCGCGTTGCTCCACTGCGCCTGGGTGAGGCTCGAGAAGAAAGCCTCCATGTCGGAGAGGCCTGCAGACGAGGCTCCGAAAAGGCTCAGCGGAGGCGGAGGCTCGAGAAGCAGGTGTCCACGCCGGAAGAGTGCCGAGCGAGGCGAACGCGAGCGGCTCGCCCCCGTGCGACTTTCGGTGCTCGAGCAGGAAGGGGAGCACTGACCACAGCCGCGCCACGTCGGGGCACTCGGCAGGGGCGTGACCGCCGTCGCGGTACCACGCGCGCACCTCGTCGGGCGATCGGCCGCCGCGGACGAGCGGCCGCCCGCGCCACTCGGCCGTCGCGCGCAGCTGCTGGTGCGCCCGCGCAGACGACCACCGGTTGAAGCGGAGGAAGCGGAGCACAAACGCGTCGGAGTATGCGTCGGTCACGCCTCCCGCGGCGGCGAAGGCTGCCTTGGCCACGTCGAGCTGGTGCATCTCTTCCGGCGAGAGCGAGGCTCGTAGACGCGCGGCGCCGGCCGCCACCTCGTCGACGGCTTCCACTGCCGGCGCCTCCAAAGGCTCCAACGCTGGAGGTGGCACGGGCGCGGCGGCGGCCGAGGCTGCTCCTGCGGGACTGCTGCCGGCAAGCACACGCTGCTCCGCGGCCGCCCGCGTCTTTTTCGCGGTCGCCACCGCCAGGTGCAGTGGCATTGAGGGCGTTGGAGGCTGTTGCGGGCCGACCGCGCTCTCTCGCGGCTCTGGCACCGGTGTGCGCTCGAGCTCCTGGTCCTTGCCTGGTGGTGCTGGTCGGCGCGGCTGCGCCGGCGAGGCGCTCGCGCTGCGCACACGCTTGCCTCGCACCCACTTGAGGAGCATTGCAGGGTGTGTGCGTGTTTGTCCGTCTTCTCTCGATTCGCCGAGGTTCGCCGCGGATTTTTCCTCATTTTTCTGATCTGTTAGTGTCTGTGTGTGTTCACAATTCACTGCCTCTTTCTCACCTAACTCACTCTGACTTCGTTGACACACACATGGCACATCGCTCTCAAGCCCACAGAATCCCCACCCGTGCGCGCCCCGACCCGGCCGGGAAACAGTGAAAGGTCGCTTTTTCTTGAAAACAAGTCGCGCCGGCGCTGCTTGTGCCACCGGCTCCAAACAGCTTCCACCACCACTGCACCGACCAGCGACACCTGTGCCTCAGCAGCAGCGAGATGGACGACTACAGAAGTGCGCTCGCCCTGCGCTGTCGCGCCACCGCCACAAGAGTCTCACCGGCGCGCCCGCGGCGCCCTCAGAAATCGGGCTCGGCCTGACCTGCGGCGGTGTTTTCTTCCTCTTCCTCGGTGTCATGCTCTTCTTCGACAAGGGCCTTCTCGCCATGGGAAACGCGCGTTGGCCGCCTCCCGCCTCTGCCCCACCTCCGAGCCCGAAGCCACCTGTGAAGCTCCCACTCGCTCCGCGTCGTGCAGATTCTCTTTCTCTCTGGCGTGTCGCTCATCATCGGGCCGCGAGGGGTCTTCCGCTTCTTCTTCCAGAAGCGAAAGGCGCGCCCACACGCTTCCACTCCGACGCGTATCCCGCCTCTCCCTCCTCCACACCCGCGTGCTGACGCGCCGCCGGCTCGCGGCCGCCGGCAGGCCAAGGGCACGACTTGCTTCTTGGGCGGCATCTTCCTCGTGCTGGTGGGCTGGCCCATCTTTGGGATGGCGGTCGAGGTCTTCGGCTTCCTCAACCTCTTTGGGGACTTCTTCCCCGTTGTGATTGGCTTCCTGCGAAACTTGCCTGTCGTCGGAAACCTGCTCGCGCTGCCGCCGATCCGCGCCTTCACGGACCGCTTCGTCTCGAAGGCGCGACTGCCGGTGTGAGGAGAGGTGGTGATGGGGACGGTGCGAGGGAGGCGCGCCCATATGAACGCAAGCACTCAAATCTAGTCCCGTCGCGCAGACAGCTCTGCAGACTCGGCTTGTGCGCCCCATCAGAGAGATGTGCGCATGTCGGAATGCCCACGCACGCGGTACATCTCAATCACCTTGTGGCTAGGCTCCATGTGCTGTTGCTTTACACGATACTCGCTTTTAAAATGCCCCACCCCTCGCATGCATTGGTGTGTACTACCGCGCATACGACCCGCATTCGGCAAAAGACTGGACAGTTCCTAACTAGAAGCCCTTCTTATCTGGGGAGAGACAGAGAGACAGTGCACCGGCGTGCAGCTTGCGTTGGGGACGGCGCGAGCGCGCAAGCCGCCGCCGCCGCGCGTCCCCGCAGCACGGGTCGCGCGGCGCAGCTAGAGGCGCGGCGGTCAGACCGCCGTAAGGTCGTCGAGGGTGGCGTCCTTATCCTTATCCTCGGCGGCCAGAGCCTCGGCGGCGGCCGGCGCTGCAGCGGGCGGCTCGGCGGCGGGTGCGTCGGCGGAGCTGCTCGGCAAGGGCGTGTCGGCGAGGATGCCGGTGCCGGGCACGACTTCGATCTCCACCTGTGGCGGTGCGACAGCGAGGGGCGCGGGTGGGCGGGGGCGAGGAGGGAGGAGGGAGGGCCTGCGGGATGATGGGTGTGTGGGGGCTCCTCGGGGGCGGCTCACCTCGCCCTCCTCCGCCTGCTTGACGAGCTCCGGGTAGTCGCGCCTGGGAGGAGGGCCGGGACGGGTCAGGCGAGGGGGGGGGGGGGGGGGGCTGGAGCGGGTGCGGGTCACTTGAAGTCGGAGACAAGGTCGGGGTGCCTGCAGGCAGCGAGATGGGGAACAGTGAGGCGGCGGCGCGCGAGAGTGCGGCGCTCGCCGCAGCGAGGGGAGAGGGGGAGGGCGCACAAGTTGCCCTCGGGCTCCCACGTGTTGTCCTCGGGCCGCTCGTACCCCTTCCACTTGATCTCATACACGAGGCCCAGCGGCCCCTTTTTGACGTCGACGATGTTTTCAATCTCGTCCTCGTCGCCGCCCTCCTGCGCCTGGTCCGCCTCGGCGGCGGCCTTGGCGAGCAGCAGCGCCTGCGCCTTGCGCTGCCGCAACCGCTCCTCCTTGTTCTTCTTCTGCTCCGCGCGCTTCGCCTCGTCCGCCTGCGCGGCAGGGGGAGGAGGAACAGGGGAGGAGGAACAGTCTCCCACCGCCGCCTCCGCGCGCTACCGGCAGCGCTCGCGCGCGCGCCTTCGATTGCTTCGCGAGCGCCTCCTCGAACATCGCGTCCGACACCGAGTTTGTGAACTTCTCGGCCGCCTTGGCCGCCGACGAGCGGCGCGGCCGCGTCTTGACCACGCTCGACTCGCCCGCATCGCCGTTGCGCTTGCCGTCCTCCCTGTCGTCCTCGTGGTCCTCCTCCAGGTCCTGCCGGTTGGTCTGCCCCGGGACGAACTCCTCGTCGGAGGCGTCGAGGTCCGAGTCGCCCGTATCCTTCTTCTTCCGCTTCTTCTTGTTCGGCTTCTGGCTGGGCGGCGCCGCGCTCTTGCCGGGCTCAGGCGGCGCGTCAGGCACGTTGACGTGCAGCGTCTGCCCGGGGACGACGCCGTCGGGGAGGATGAGCGAGACGTTCCGCCCGTCGGTGTGGACGAAGCTGATCTGCTGACCCGCGGTCGTGCCCTGCGGCACGATGAGGCTGACCTGCACCGGCATTGCACGCGTTGCTCCTGTCGAAGCAGCGGGTGCGACAATGAGCGGCGCAAGTCGCTGGGCATGGGAGCGGCGGCAGGCAGGGCTGCCAGAGCGACCGGCGCCGGGAGCGGGCGCGTCGGGGGCGCGGGTGCCTCGGGGGCGCGGGTGTCGGGCGCAGGCTACCTTTCACACCTCGAGTGTTCAGCAGCAGGTCGATGTAGTGGCGCCGCAGCGCTCGTTCACGCCTCACGCGACCGTTGCGGCGGGCGGCAAAATTCGGGGGCGGATCTTGACGGGGGGCTCGCCCCCCTTCCCCCTCAATGCCCCCCAGTCCCCCGTTACGTCTAACCCCCCTCCCGCCCCGAACCCATTAGGTGCACATTTTGTGCGCCTGTGAACGTCATCCCGAGGCCACGCCGATACTCCAGGAACGATCTCAGCTGTGAAGCGCGCGAGCCAGGCGGGCTTTTGCAGCTTTGGACGCGCTGGCCACTTGCGTGTATCGCCTTGCGGCTCCAATGCCATCTCGCTACCTCCCGATCGATGTTGTCGAGGATTCCGACTCGGAGGGCGAAACGTCTGGCCTCCTGATACCGTCCGGGCAGCCGGCTCGAGGCGCCATGGCTCGAGGCCAAGTGGCGCCGCGGAGAGAGTCTGAAGAGGCTCCAGCTTGCTGTTCGGCGTCCGCTGCTGGAGCGGCGGCACTCTCAATCCTTGCGGGCTGCGCTGTGGCCGCGGGTATCTCAGCACTGCTCGACGATGGTGCGCCATGCGAGACGGGCAGCAGCCGTCCTGGCGCCGCGCCTGCCGCGCTGGCCACGCCGAGGGACGGGCTCACCGATCTGCAGCAGCAGGGCCACGAGTGGATCGGCGGCGCGGCGGGCGGCGCGGATCGCTTCAACGCCTCCGAGCGCTGGGGCGCGCACATGCGCCAGCCCTCCGGACCGTCGGCGCGGCTGCTGCTGCTCGGCCTTCTCTCTGGCTCTGACCGGTTCGTGAGCCGTGACCTGCAGCGACGCGCCTTGTGGGCGCAGCGGCCGTGGGAGTATGGCGTGGCCTGGCGCTTCGTCGTCGGCGAGCGCCTGCCCAAGGGCGACAACAGCCGCGTCTCGCTCGAGTACGAGAGCGCGAAGGTGCGCCTCTGTCGAGCCCTCGTCTCCTCGAAGAAGCTCCGCGCTGCACTCTCTACCCTCGTCCCTCGCCCCTCGCCCCTCGCCCCCTCTCTCCCTCTCCCTCTCCCTCGACCCTCTCTCTCTCCCTCTTTCTCTCCCTCCCCTCGCCCTTCACCTCCGCCCTTCACCTCTGCCAATCCCCTCCGCCCCTCCCCCTCCACCCCCGCGCCAGTACGGAGACGTCGACCGCGTGTCTGGCGCCAGCGAGCTGCCTCCCCGGCTGGCGAGCAAGGCCGCCGCTGCCTAGACGCTTCCCAGACACTCCCCAGACACTTCCTAGACACTTCCTCGACACTTCTCCCTCGCCTGGCTCTCCCTCCTGAACCTTCTCGGACCCGTCCGTCACCTTCTCGGAAACCTCCGTCAGGCCCTCGCCTGGCTCGTGCATGCCTCCGCCTCCAGCCGCCGCGCCGCAGCGCCGCCGCGCTATGTCGCCCTCTCGAGCGACGCTCACTTGCTGCGTCTACCTCGGTCTCCTCCTCCGACACCTCCCAGACACACCTCCCAGGCACCTCCCAGACACCTCCCAGACTCCTCCCAGGCACCTCCCAGACACCTCCTACACACCTCCCAGGCACCTCCCAGACACCTCGTAGGCACCTCCGAGACACCTCCCAGACACCTCCTAGGCACCTCCCAGACACCTCCTACACACCTCCCAGGCACCTCCCAGACACCTCGTAGGCGCCCACTCCCCCTCCGATCCGCCCCCTCCCTCCCTCTCCCCGCAGGCTCGCCGCGCTGCTCCGCGCGCACCACACCAAGCGGCCGCGCCTCTACGGCGGGCGCCTCTACGCCGGCGCGCTCCTCCGCTGGGGAGCGTGGCGCGGCGGCGAGCTCGTCGACCGCGGCGGCAGGCTCGTCACCACCTGGGGCTGCGTGTCGGCCACCGCCCAGGCGCAAGGGGGCAGCTCGGGCGGCGGCCGCTCAAACGCGTCGCTGGAAGCGCTCTCTGCGGCGAACGGCGCGGCGTGGCGGGCGGCGGCGGCGGGCGGCGGGTGGTGTGGTTCGCATCCGTCCGTGTTCCCCCGAGCGACCGCCGAGCTGCAGCTCTGGTGGGAAGCAGACCGCCGCCGCCCCCGCACCGCCTCTCCTCCGCTCTCCGGCCTGTCTGCGCCAGACGTCCTCGGACATCCCTTCTGACCAGCGGAGACGGCTCCGCTGCAGGTCGCTCCCGCTGCTGACGCAGCTCGAGGAGCCGCTGCGCGCCGCCGCCTCCTCGGCAGACCTCGACCGGCCCGCGCCTCCGCGGTCGGGAGGGATGTCGCGAGACGCCGCCGCGCGGACCGCCGAGCAGGAGGCGGCGCTGCTTGGGGCCGCCGCCGCCGCGCACATCACCGACTCAGTTCGGGCCAGCGGCGCAGACGTCGCATACGTGCAGCTTGCGGATCGCTTGCCCACGTTCGGCTGGTCGGACCCGCCCGCCGACTACGGCGAGGCGATGCTCGTGAGGGAGGCGCCGCGCCATCAATGCTGAGCACACGTCCTGAGCACACGTCCTGAGCACACGTCCTGAGCACACGTCCTGAGCACACGTCCTGAGCACACGTCCTGAGCACACGTCCTGAGCACACGTCCTGAGCACACGTCCTGAGCACACGTCCTGAGCACACGTCCTGAGCACACGTCCTGAGCACACGTCCTGAGCACACGTCCTGAGCACACGTCCTGAGCACACGTCCTGAGCACACGTCCTGAGCACACGTCCTGAGCACACGTCCTGAGCACACGTCCCTGCATCCCAACTGTCCTGGCTGTCCTAACACTCGGCTGTGCGTCTTGTCTTAGCAGCCCGCGGGTAGACTGCAACGGTGCCGTGTGCCACGCGTAGGTGCGCGACGGCGTGGCGGCCGAGGCTGTGTTGCGGCAGTGGAGAGAAACGAAGCCGCCGGCCGCCGCGTCGCCGCTGCAGTGCTCACGGCGCGTCGGGGGCGGCATCGGCTTGGCGAGGGGAGAGCGTGTCGACGACTCAGCCGCCGCTCGCTCTGCTTGTAGGCAGCACTGCAGAGAGTGGGGCTTCCCTGCCGCCGATGGGGCGGCGGAGTGCTGCGAGGTGGCCGCCCCGAGCAGGAGAAGCGGCAAGGGCAGGAGGTTGCTGAGCGCGAGCGATCGGCGAGAGTCGACTTGAGCCATTCGGCACACTTGCTGCACGCAAGGCAGCGGGCCAGCGCCGCGCGTGCCACGAGCGGCCAGCGCCCCGGCAGCGCGGCGGCCGGCGCGCCCCGGGCCGAGCGTTTTTGATCTCTCGGTAAGTGGGGGGCCGAGCCGCCTCGGGGTGGCGGGCGGGCGGGCGTGTTGAAAAACAGAAAACAGAGAACAGAGGGGGGCCAGGGCCCCCACTACGATTAGACACACGCACCTGGCTCCTGGGACAAGGCGAGAACGCGCAGCATGTGCAGTACCGCCGTTCAGCGGGGTGGGGGGGGGGGGGGGAGCCGAGGGGGCGACGTCCCGACACGGCAGGTTGGAGCTGACCCCGGGAGAGAGAGAGAGACGAGCGATGGCACGCCCCCAATGACCCTAGACAGACATGACGAGCCGACAGCGATGCAGCGGCAGCGAAGGCGGCGAGGAGAGCCCGCGCTGCAGAGCTCCGCCGGGCGGCAGCAGAGACATCGGCGGACGGGGGAGCACGGGACACGTCGGCATAGGAGCCAGGGGGGTGGGACCGGGTGCACCCGAGCCCACCCGAGAGGTGTCCCCAAGGGTCTGGGGCCGTTTTGCTAAAAATCGAGCAAAGTCAGCTCCGCCTCGCGCGTTGCACTCATAGCCCTCGCTCATCGCCACTTGCGCACGGCTGTTCGTGAGCGTGACGCAGCGCATATGCCACTCCCGGCTTCGGCGAAGTGAAGGGCGTCAGGGCTGTCAGCCAGGGGGGGCGACCCTCGTAGCGTCATCCTCGATCGTACACACACGCCGGCAGCCGATGCACCCCGACTCGCTGGTCGACACGCAGGGCTTCTGGCCTCTGCCCCACGCGCAATGCCCCACTGTGAGACCCGGTCGCCCCACACCAGCAGCCTATGCACACCATAGTTCGGCAAAACTCCACGCGCGAAATGGATCGCAGCTAGAGCAAGTGGACCAACTTGGGCAAGGCTCTAGTCGCCGCTGCCCATCGCGGAGCCCAAACCCTCGTCTCAGAGCCGATACTACGACCCGGCGCGCGGGATCTGAAGCTACGAGGCCTGGGTCGGGGCTATCAGTGGGCTACATGCCGCCTGCCGCGGCTCCTAGGTCCACGAAACGCTCGCGCTTCACCCTCCCCCCCCTCTGACGATAGGTGCGCTCACCGGCAGAGAGGCACACGGCGGGCGATGGCGGAGCGCGGCGACGCTCCTGACTCAATGGAAGGTCGCCCACATACCCACCCTCACCACAACGCCGTAGGCGGGTCGAGACTGCCCTCCACCCGCTCGCGCTTGCCTCCCCTACCCGACCGGTTCGGCTCCCTGTAGATGGGCCGACACACCTTCACTGCGGCGCTTCTGCCCGCGACAGCGGCGCCTGAGCGCGTGGGGCTGCAAGGCCCCTCGGGGCGGCCCGCGGGGCGGCGGGAGAGAGCTCTCCCGCCGTCGTGGCGCACCATATCACCCGTAGACGCCTCTATATAGTCGCCTTTTAGCACCTCCTCTCTACACGCCGCCGAGTAGACCCCGCCGCACCGCATCACCGCCCCCTTCCCTGCCCCGTCGCCCTCCTGAGCTCTCCCCCCTTTGCTCCAGCCACTCACAGGACGGCTGGGCCATCGGCCCGCGTGACAGGCGCCCGGGACGGCCGGGGAGCGGCCCCGTAATTTGAGCCCTCTCGGGCCACTCTCGGGCGCGTCCACCGGCCGGCAGAGCACCGCTTGGGCGACACAGACGGCCCGCCCGACCAGCGCGCTCGACCGCCGTGCCGCCCCCACACCGCCAGCGGCGGGCTTGGGGGTCAGGCGGCGTCCACGCACCCCTCGTGGGGGTGCCCACCGCTCTCCTCTCACCGCTCCCCCCCCGCCCGTGGCACCCCACGCACGCGTCCCTCCTCAGGGGCGCATGGCGGCACGTTCAACGCTTGCCTCGGCCCACCTCGCCATCACGCCCGCCGCCGCGACCAAGGAGGTGGCCTCGGCGGCCCAGACGAAGCCCGTGCGGCTCGTTTGGGAGCCGCGCGCCGTCCCTCTCTCGCCCGCGCTGCTCACACGGCCCAAGCCCACGTCCCTCCGGCCGCAGGCGCCGCCAAGGAGTGACCAGCGC